AAGCCAGACAATATTACTCGTCAATTGGGAAGCGCTGCAACTTAATGGGTTAAGAAAATGAAACATTCTTGAGTGATATTTGACTGTTGGTAATTCATGCATTTTTGGAGGAAAATATTTTACACAGGGGTTATTCGCCTGACACCGAACCCCAATATTTTCCTCATTCTTTGAACATGCTAAAACTGAACTATTTTCCTCATTCTTTGAACATGCTAAAATGATACAAAATAAATTTCAGTTGAATTCAATCATGTCCTCGGGCCCAAGTTGTCAAGACTATCACGGACCTTAACTGTTGGTAGCATATATCTGCTTAAGCCCTGGGTTCAAATGAGTGGAATTTCAAGAGCATTCTGACTGGCTTTGTGCAAACAGGTGGCCTTACCGGTTAGGATGAGGGCCAGTTAAGGTTATGGTTGGGTGCAGGCAAGGTTCATGTAAACTTATTGTTAGCAAGAGTGTTATGTGTACATAATCATGTGTCATATGTTGGATTAATGGCATTTAAACACTGGGATCCAGTGTCAAACAATAACCACAACAATTATTACATAAAGTATTTGGTTGTTTTAGTGTAATATTAATTTCTCACATAAATTTTTTTTCAGAAATAAAGCACCATTGAGCAACTTGTTGGGAAAGAGGAGTCACAAACTGTTGATGAATATATTTAATTAACTACATCCACATAAAATACAATTTTATTAACAGTATATTGATTTATGGGTTATTAGATTACATTATTTTCATATTAATTAAAAATAAAATTAAAAAATTAAATGACAAAATCAGTGTGAAAATATTGCAATAATCAATTAAAATGTCAAACCAGCCAATTGTTTCAATTATGCATTTGTGAGTGTAACCTAACCCCCCCCTCCCCCCCTTGAGAGAACCCTATTATCCCTTTTGATAAGTGGCAATGCACCATATAATTTTACTGTCAAATGCCAGACAAATATACTTGTCAATGCAAGGGGAGAGCTCTGGCACTCTATGGGCTGACCAGTATATATGCAAGTTGCAATGCAACCCAATGCACCCTACTTTATTATCTAATAGCAGACAATTTTATTTGTGAAGGGGAGAGTGCTTAATGAGTTAACCCTTCAATTAAGTGGCATGCACTCTGATGCACCCTACTTTAGTATTTCACTCTGTCTAATACCAGATGATTTTACTTATCAAGTGGAGAGTGCTGCCACTCAATGGGTTAAGTGGAATATTATACTAATTGCTTCAAACAAAGGTGATTCCCCTTTGTGGCATAACATTTAACCAGCTAGGGCATTCTTCTTCATTCTTCAAGTTTTCTACACATCTCAGGATTTTTCTTGGCATCTGGAAAAGTGTAATAGAATACACCCAATCAGTCACATACTATATTATCTATATAATTTGGTCTACATGCTACTGAACAATATTATTTTTTTCCTTTCAAATATTAAAATATGTCATTTCAGACATATAGGCATCCCTTCCCACCCATCGACTTCTATCTATTTCTATGTACTATCCATAAATTCATAGTCATCAAGAAAAATTCAATCATGTCTATTTGTGCTGGCCTTTTTATATATGAACTATGAACTTTACTTGTACAACTATCTATTGGGCCTCCTATGTTAGCCATGAAAAAAGATTAAATAAAGTGTCTACTAAAATCAAACTCAAAATTGTAGTGTGAGCCTTGCAAGCTTTTATTCAACACTTACTCCTACAGAGACACTTGTTAGGAACAGTTTTGATCTTTTTTGTGCCCTTACAACCATGCATATATTGGGCCTCCTATGACAATACATTCAAACCCTAGGATAAGACTACAAGTTGGGACTATTGACACCATTTGGCATTTGTGACTTGACACTTATCCATCATTTTAAAGCATTTCTGTTACAATACTGCGAGCAATACTGTATGTGAAAATTGATGTTGGATCTTTGGGTTAGGGCTCCAGAGGAAAACAGAGACTATAACCTGCCCAAATGGCAAAATAAAACACAAAGAAAAGTGATAAAAGGCAGAAAAATACCAGCTGCTGTACAGCGTCGTTTTTCGTAAATTTCGTATCCAATTTTTTCTTTTAAAAAACGGTATTTAGTACAAATGAAGCACAGAAAAAGAGTTTAATACATCTTACCGGTAAAAAGAAGTGTTTCTTCTTGATATTAAAGAATTGTGGCATCATGAAGCCATGCCAAAACTCGGCATTTTTTCTTGATGTTTTTTACATAAACTTTCAGCAGAGTTTGTGCAAAAACCAGGGGGGTGAAATCGTCGTCTGAAGCTGAGGATCGCGGTTGGTCAGTGGTAATTACCACGAGGATTTAGGACCAGTGGCGTCATTCTGGCGTCAGCAAACGTGAAAATCCGCCATGTTTTTGGCGACACTCTTTGATGCCGAGCACTTCCTCCAGATATATTATAGCTCAGTGGTTTACCCTGCCATTTACGTCACGAAATATATTCATGCATAAATTAGCATACGCGGAATTTTCCCAAGATGGCGACGACTGTTAAAATTCGTTAAACATTTTCGCAAATTTTCCGAACAACTAAATGCAATGGACAAACAAAAATATGAAATTAAGTACTCCATTAGTAAGGTTAATAAATACAGACAATAAAAAAATTTGTTGCCATTGTCCTTTATTTAAGCAGATAAACTTGACCTTTGAACTTCTGAACATTACTGTTTGTGTTAGGTAACCAAACTTTTTTTCTTTATTTTTTTTATGGGGCATGCTCCTCCGAGGGGAAATTTTGAAAACTACTTAGTTTGACCTCAAGAAGTGACAAAACCTTGCAAATACACCGTAACACCATATTTTGGCCAAAAATAGCGCCGATGATGACGATTTGATCACGAAAAACCCATTGAACCCAAGTAAAATTCTGTTGTCAAGCTGGGAGGTAAACACGCGCGATAAATGTTTTTCTTTATTAAATTGACTAGAGATCTTTACTATCGATTTTTATGGCAAATTCAATGGTGTTCTCCAATTTTCCATCTACCATCCACACAAATTTCTGTAGTAGCATAAATATTTCCTGAAAATTCACGTATATAAGAAAGCGAATTTTGGGATATTAAAGCCTTGAAGGACGAATATCTTCGCCCGGTGTGTCTCGGCCTTTAGTGTATTGAAGGGCGAATATCTCCGTTCGGTTTCTGAATGAGAAAAACAAAACTGGGGTTGTTCATACAGAATTTCACGCACAATTGAATGGTGCTTTTGGAATTTCCATTTAGCGATTACCGTGCACACAAATATGTGCTCACTACACAAATTCAAAGGAAATTTGCGTCGTAATTTCGGTACGCGAACTGTTATTATTTTCTATTTACGGCCAGTTTATTTCCCTTTATATGATAGAATAAATCATTGTGAGCTGGATCGAGAATGGCATTGTCAAATCATCCTGAACAGCCATCCTGGGCATGCGCGAGCGACAATTAAGACAGATTTAGATCAAGGACGCGGACGTGAAAGACGACGTGAAAATGGCGTGGCATAATCCATACATGGGCACAACACGCCATTTTCACGTCGTCTTTGACGTCCACGTCCTCAATCTAAATCTATCTATTATCGAATCAGAATCCAGTGTTTCTTGTACCAAATACCTCTGACAAAATACTGTCAGTCCCTTATTCTGTGATACTGTAATATAGCTATCGAATTTTCGGACGCTCTCTGATTTAAAATATATATTTATTTCACAAGCTTTCGACTGCCACCCGTTAAACACCTGTTGAAAACTGCAGTCGCCATGTCGAAAGCTTGTGAAATAAATGATATATTTTAAGACAGAGAGCTTCCAAAAACTCGATACGAATAATCCTGGTTTCGCCTCAAACATCTTTAAATGGGCCATTTTTAAGGGCTCACTCACCACTGTAATTGGTGTTAAGCAGTGGCGTAGCCAGACTATAATTTTTGGGGCGGCATATATCGAACGCCGAAGGCGTTAGCATTCTCCCCCGGGAAAATTTTGAAATCTGGAGGCCCTCAATGGCGATTTCCCGTGTTTCTGGGGAGAGATTTTGCATAATTCTGAAGATTATTTACTGCAGGAAAGACCTGATTTTTAATGATTTCTCAATAATGTGGATCCTTAATTTGACTCAACGAAGCTTACTTGGTCGCGTGTAAATAGTTAAATCGAAGTTTTAAAACGCATTTTAACCAATAACCACCATAGGCATTATTTTCTGTAGTTAGATTTAGGAAAGATTAGAATTTTTATAGACAATTTGGTGAACAGATGAGATTGGTACTCACATGGGTAGTCATCGTCCCCCTCCCTAATTTCTACCCGGATTTCATCTTTTTACAGGGGCAGTCCTTCAGCCCATTGGGGGGGGGGGGTGAGGCCCCCCTTGTCTACGCCACTGGTGTTAAGCTGTTGTGGTGTCTCAGCTTCTTTAATGCAAGATTGTATGATGTTTGGAAGGGAAGCACAATAAATAAATAAATAAATGTAATATAGACCTTCGCAAGAAGCAGGACCAAGAAATACAACACGCGTGTAAACAAAGAGCACAGTTGCTTGGTAACAGGCCAATAATGCAACAACATTGCGTAAAATAAGGCTGCGACCTATTATTATTGGTTCGCAGACTTTGGACTACAGTATTTAAAGATGCTGTAAAGTCCGTTCTGCGCAGGCCTACATTCCTCGGGACCCGAGCATTGGAATGCCACTAATATTTCGCACCTTCCGAACTTTCTTGAATTGAGTCTATAGTCTGTATTCATTTACAAGCATAGCGAACCAAATGAGTGTTAAAAATTCAGTATAATATATTTACATATATCTAATCATATTTTACAACTGTGGCACCGAGTTCAAAATGTAAACAAAGCGTTTGTTCACATTACGGACTTTACATCACCTTTAACAAATTTAACTGAATGGAAGCGATTTGTCGTGAACGCTTTTTGGCAAGAAATATAGTACATACTTTCATATCTGGGGGGGAATATTTTTGGTGACTAGCATGACCACTAGCTTTTTTCATTCCTTTTAAACAAAAAGAGTATCATATAACACAATCGCGCAGTCTCTAGTTCTTCTCAAATTCATTAATAATTCACGAGTAGCCTAATTAAACCAATATCGTGTTTTCATACATTGTTTTCTCGTGTTTGGATATCCCGGTGAAACACTCGCTCTAGTTGTTCATATATTACTTCTAGATTTCCCTAAACAGCTTGAGTAAGTTTAAGTCGCCAAACAGCGTCGGGTCAACAAGTCAATTAAATCTTGAGCAAGGTATATGCTAGTTTAAAGATAAAGAGCAAAGCCCAGCAAATAACTTTAAAACCAAACATAATAAAAGTAAAAATTTAATTAACTAACGTTTCGTTGTTTACAATACAACATCTTCAGAGCAATCTAAATGAATTTACAGGGTATATATATTTACAAAATAATGGTTTACTATTACAAAAACGGTTACATAATTTGAAAGAACAAATTAATAGAAAGAAAGGAAAACAACTTATCAGTAACAAGTTAATAAGAAAAGATTAATGTTAAGTGCATGGTTAGTATAGTTAAGGTTAATATTACATAACTAAAATAACTCAAGAGGGGTAGATCTAATATTAGCATTAAGGACAGGGTTAATTTGAGAAATTAATAGGCTTTTACGGATAAGAAGATCCCACTCAGAAGTGCCTGATGATAGAATTTTGAAATCGGAAGCGGAGACTGGGTGTTTAGGCATGTGTTTGTGAGCGAGTATACCAGACATATGGTTGAGATAGAGCGTTCTTTTCCAGTCAAAGGCGAGACTCCCATATGCTCTGAGATACGTGTGTGAATGTGTCGGCGTGTTTGGCCAACATACAATGCGCTACAGCATTGACACGTGAACTGATACACAACATGTGATCTCAGGGCAATGGGAATCCTGTCTTTAAATGGAAAGAAACTAGAAAGGCGACAAGAAGGACGGAAAATAACACGTATGGAAATATGTGGATAAGCAGAAGCAAGAACTTTACTAAGTTGTGTACGGATATGAAGACCATGATGTCCAGTGAAAGGAAGGCAAAAGTAAACAATTTTCTTGGAACATGTATGGACCTTGGCCTTGGTGTTGTAAATCCTGTCAAGAAATGTCCTAATGCAACTATCTATAAGTGCTTTAGGATAACCATTGGAAGAAAAGGTTTTCTTAAAATTTTCCATTTCAGACTGGAAAGATATGTAAGAAGAACAAATGTTGAAATATCGAGATATAAGAGAGAAGAGGAGACCTTTTTTGTACATCATTGGAATAAAGCTATCAGAGTTTGTGAATAAGCCAGTTGAAGTGCATTTGTGATGGACAGAGGTCGTGAATGAGCCGTTTGAACGCATTACATTAACATCAAGAAAAGGAAGTGTAGAATTGTTTTCAAGCTCATGTGTGAATTGAATGTTTGGAATTGAGATAAGCGAGGAAGGGAAGCACATGATCACGGGATTGAAAGATCAGAAAACAATCATGAACATATTACGACGATAAAACAAAGGTTTAAAGTTAGAAGGGCAGTCAGCTAACCAAGATTTTTCATGGAATGATAGAAATATGTTAGCAAACAGTGGACCAAGTGGTGAACCCATTGCAACACCATCAACCTGCTTATAAAGAACACCATCAAATAGAAAATGACAATTCTTTACAGATAAGTTAAGAAATCGAGTGAATTGATCAACTGTGAAACCGTGAAAGCGTGAGGTATTATAGAAACACTTATTAACAATTATACTAATAGTCTCATCTAATGGTATGTTAGTGAATAGTGACTTAACATCAAAGCTAGCCATCACAACATTATTAGTATTAATCTGCAGCTCACGTAATTCCTTAACAAACATAAATGTATCAGTAATAGTGTAAGAATTAGTGGAAAAAGGACGGAGAAGTGGTACAAGAAACTTAGCAAGTTTGTAAGCATGAGTTCCTATAGCAGAGATAATAGGCCTTAATGGAAAATTAGGTTTATGAACTTTAGGTAAACCATATAGAATACCTGGCCGAGAGCCAATGGGCGTAAGTTCATCATGCTGTTGTTCAGATATAAGTTCTTCATTCTTGAGTTCATTAAGGAGTTTACGAACCTTGTCTTCACTAACATACCATTAGATGAGACTATTAGTATAATTGTTAATAAGTGTTTCTATAATACCTCACGCTTTCACGGTTTCACAGTTGATCAATTCACTCGATTTCTTAACTTATCTGTAAAGAATTGTCATTTTCTATTTGATGGTGTTCTTTATAAGCAGGTTGATGGTGTTGCAATGGGTTCACCACTTGGTCCACTGTTTGCTAACATCTTTCTATCATTCCATGAAAAATCTTGGTTAGCTGACTGCCCTTCTAACTTTAAACCTTTGTTTTATCGTCGTAATATGTTCATGATTGTTTTCTGATCTTTCAATCCCGTGATCATGTGCTTCCCTTCCTCTCTTATCTCAATTCTAAATATTCAATTCACACATGAGCTTGAAAACAATTCTACACTTCCTTTTCTTGATGTTAATGTAATGCGTTCAAACGGCTCATTCACGACCTCTGTCCATCACAAATGCACTTCAACTGGCTTATTCACAAACTTTGATAGCTTTATTCCAATGATGTACAAAAAAGGTCTCCTCTTCTCTCTTATATCTCGATATTTCAACATTTGTTCTTCTTACATATCTTTCCAGTCTGAAATGGAAAATTTTAAGAAAACCTTTTCTTCCAATGGTTATCCTAAAGCACTTATAGATAGTTGCATTAGGACATTTCTTGACAGGATTTACAACACCAAGGCCAAGGTCCATACATGTTCCAAGAAAATTGTTTACTTTTGCCTTCCTTTCACTGGACATCATGGTCTTCATATCCGTACACAACTTAGTAAAGTTCTTGCTTCTGCTTATCCACATATTTCCATACGTGTTGTTTTCCGTCCTTCTTGTCGCCTTTCTAGTTTCTTTCCTTTTAAAGACAGGATTCCCATTGCCCTGAGATCACATGTTGTGTATCAGTTCACGTGTCAATGCTGTAGCGCATTGTATGTTGGCCAAACACGCCAACACATTCACACACGTATCTCAGAGCATATGGGAGTCTCGCCTTTGACTGGAAAAGAACGCTCTATCTCAACCATATGTCTGTTATACTCGCTCACAAACACATGCCTAAACACCCAGTCTCCGCTTCCGATTTCAAAATTCTATCATCAGGCACTTCTGAGTGGGATCTTCTTATCCGTAAAAGCCTATTAATTTCTCAAATTAACCCTGTCCTTAATGCTAATATTAGATCTACCCCTCTTGAGTTATTTTAGTTATGTAATATTAAAATACCTTAACTATACTAACCATGCACTTAAGGGAGTGGTCATTATTTATGGGGAGGGGGGGTTGGGAAATGGGGAAAATAAGGATTGAAAACTTTTTTGACCCCCCCTCCAGGCTGAAGGCAAACTTTTTGTGCCTCCCCCTCATAAAAGTAGAAACTTTTCTGACCCCCCCCCCCAGTGTGGATTGAAAAATTAACAGCAATGAAACAGGTGTGCATTGCAGGTAAAGTTAGATATTAGGACAATCTGTTTAATCTAGCTCATGATGTTTTACCCTGGTGAATATGATTGAACCATATATGATTAAAAAATATATATTATGTGTTCTACTTTGCAATGCAACATTTGTCCTACCATAACCCTAACCCATGACCCGTCTTCATACAGCGAAATGATTTGAACACAGGTTTTAGTTAAGAACTTGTCTGGGGGGTGGGCATCTACAAAAAGGGACCATACTATATTGAGTGTGGAGAGATGACAGATGGTTGTTGGTGACAAAAAGTTTGGTGTGGTATCGTATGTACTAGTAGGGGGGTCTGGGGGTATTCTCCCCCAGAAAATGTTTTGTATTTTTCCACCCCTAGAACTGAAATGTGAGCATTTTCTGAAACAGATTTTTGGATATACAGTGTTACATTGTGCGTTGATAGACCGAATCTGATCAGTTAAGTGTACTTGCATGGTATGTTTATGATACCACAACTGGGTCACTCAGGGGGTAGAAAGCTTGTTAAACTTAGTGGGCCCGACTCCCACGATCGCGAGGCGCTACCATGGTTGGCACCGAGCAGGGAAATTTTGAAAATTTTGAGTCTCTAGATCGCTGGAAATAGCATTTTCAGAGTCTTCTTTTTTGCTAATTGTGATTATAGAAATCTGAACTCTAGACATGGTATTTAAGTTCAAAAACTTTTATGACCCCCCCTTCTCTGTGTTAAAACTTTTTTGAACCCCCTATTTATAAGGGTAAAACTTCGTTTGCCCCCCCCCTCCCATTTCCCAACCCCCCCCTCCCCATAAATAATGAGCACTCCCTTAGCAAAAAGTACAAAACCAAACATGAAACAGAAAAACACGTCCACCTGTTAATAGGCTCTTACAGCTCATAGATTGAGTAAGCGGCAGGATTCAATTAGCTTCATTGCTTCAACCTTGTTTGCACCGATTTGATCCTCCACAATAATCCTTGGCTGTCTATGGCACTCAAATAAATCGAAAAATTGACAAAAACAAAACAGTAAGAAACAACATTGCCGCTCGATTTTGCTGAATGAAAACTTGTTCTACGCCCGCGTACAATCTCTTACTAGTCAGCGACGCTTTTCAATAGGGGAATTTCTCGAGTTACACGAGGCTATTTTCTAATTTTATTTGCATTTTACTCATTAGTTTCATCGGTGACCTATCTTCAAATTTTGACCAGGAATTTATTTTGCCGTAAATTTTATAAATTTCAATTTTTAAAAAATCTTTAGTGTGGAAATTTCGCAATAAAATTTTCGCTTTTAAAAAAATCACACACTACAGAATTTTTTTAAACTTTCACCACAGTTGCAGAGCATCATACCCTATTGATATATGAAATAAAAAAGATAGGTCACCGACATCGTTTTTGAGAACATTTATCAATCTCGTTCCCCGAGCATGCCCGTTCGCAGGTTAACCTGCAAACGGGCATGCTCGGGGAACGAGATTGAACATTTATGGGTTAAATTGGAAACAGTGCTCTCACTTTTAAGGAATTATCCTTAAAAATAGGAATTTTGATGAGTTTTAAGGATTTTTTTAAGGAATTTAGGTTTTTGAGGATTTTTTTAAGGAATTTCCGAAACATTTTATCTTGGACTAAAAATGTTGGACGGAGGACCCCCCCCCC